CACATCCCCAGGCCCCTCTTATATTTCTTCGGCTTTCCACTTTGAATTTTTATTCTTACAAAAAATAGAAGATTTACTGTTACAGTAGGGCCCCACTTATACGGCTGGTTAGGTTCCAGGCTACTGCCGTAAAGTGGAAACCGCCGTAAAGTGGAACACCCTTTTGTTCCACTTACAAATGCATACAAACACTAGATAACAAGTTTACACTAACATATATTAAGTTAGCAATAGAACCAGGCATCAAAAAACAATAAAAAAGTACAATACACACATAGTGCACTCATTACTTACCTTAAAATATTTATAGTCTTAATCTAGGGTGAGACAAGTAGTATTTATTGTAAGAAATCAAGTGTGGTATGTATGGTAGTCAGCCAGGCTACCTTACCAGGCCACCCCACCCACACATACAATTCTATGATATTTAAGCATCCCAGAGCGATAAAATGTATATACAGTTCACTCATTACTTACCTTAAAATATAGGGTGAGATGAGTAGTATTTATTGTAAAAAATCAAGTGTGGTATGTATGGTAGTCAGCCGGGCTACCATACCAGGCCAACCCACCTACACATAATATTCTATTACATTTAAGCATCCCAGAGCGAAAAAATGTATATACAGTTCACTCATTACTTACCTTAAAATATTTGTAGTCTTAATGTAGGGTCAGGAGTAAGTAAATGAGATAAAACGAATAAATGAGAGAGAAAGAATGAGTGCATGAGAGAGGACAGGCGCAGAGTTATGTAAACAAACCAGGCGAAGGTAAGTTTTGTAAACAAAGTGTACACGTCTGGTTTGTGTACAAGTTACATTGTGTACAGGTTGTCTCTACATTGATATGGTAGAATAAATAAAGAACACTCCCATTCTCATGTAACATCATTTTGAGAAGAAATGATGCTCTGAGTGAAGGTAATGGAAATAAGTCACTCTGACTTTTTTGGGTTATCCTAGGTTCTCTACACATATGTTGTTATGTATGATAATCTATGTAACTGTATTTGTGTATACCTGAATAAACTTACTTACATACATACGAAAGGAATAATTTTCTACAGTTACCCCCAATAACACATTTTCTCTTATGTTAGATTAGAGAAAATGTTATTCTTGGCATCACTTGTACAAGTTATCTGCTACCACATCTCATATTTATGTTTATTTATCTATTGTGGGGTGTATTTATCATCTTTTTATGTTATGTATCGTGTTTATTATATAATTTTTGAAAAAAATATCATGGATTGGATTAATGAAAATGTTGTATATTAACGTAATATACAACATTTAATGAGACTCGGTGATTATTATTATTATTATTATCATTTCTAATATGGCGTCACTTGTGCAAGTCGTCTGCTACCACATCTCATATTTATGTTTATTTATTCTATTGTGGGGTGTATTTATCATCTTTTTCTGTTATGTATCGTGTTTATTATATAATTTTGAAAAAATATCATAGATGGATTAATGAAAATGTGTATTTAACGTAATATACGACATTTAAATGAGACTCGATGATTATTATTATCATTACATAATATGACGTCTGGAGACATAAGACACTCTTACTGATTTTAATGTGTACCTGCATGCCAGCACAGTATGTAAGTTTATTTAACTCTTTGAGGGTCGACAGGCCCTCTCCAAAACTCGTTCTCAGGGTCGGCCAAATTTAAAAAAAAAAAAAATTATTTTCTCTTATGAAAAGATAGAGAATCTTTTCCCGATCATAACGACACCAAAAGTTTGAAATTTGATAGAAAACTTACGGAATTATGCTCTCGCAAAGTTAGCGGTCTCGGCGATGTTTACGGATCGGCGATTTTGCCCACTTTGAGCCCCATTTTCGGCCAATTTCACTGTACTAGTCGACAAAAAACATGAATATTTCGCTAGAACTCCATTTTTTCTATCGAATGGGTGCAAGAAACCACCCATTTATAAATTCAACTATCCAGTACAGTGGTCAGAATTTAGCAATTTTGCCAATTTCACACAAATTTCAAAAGATGCCAATTTCGGAATAGGGTCCAGAATAAACAAGAAAGACATTCCTGGCACTAAAATGACATTTCCTCTAGTCATTAGCACGTCTCAAGGCCCCTCTTATATTCTTTTGCTTTCCACTTTGAATTTTTATTCTCACAAAAAATATAAGATTTACTGTTATGCAGACTACTGCATTAGTGTAAAAAATGGTATAAAAATTATTGGTGCACTTGTGAAAGAATATTAGACTCACCAGTTGACGTGTATTGCACGCTTGGCACGATTTGTTTACTTTGAAGTTTGGTAAAAATCGAACATTTCTGCTACTTTGAGCTCAATTTCAAGGCACCTTTCATTGTAAAACCAGTCAAAATCATCTCAATTTCAGTAATATGTCTTCCATTCTATAAAATGAGACCAAGAAAACTAGAATACAACAATAAATACCATACGAAAATACACTGCAAAGTCGCTGATTTATTCCAAAAAAATGGTCAAAGTTTTTTTTTTCTCATTATGCACTGTGTGCTGCAGGATTTTTTTTAGACTGTGCACACTGACCACATAGACCCATTCTTTCATATGAAGGCCTACCAGCTTTCTCCCACTAGATTTGAGGTCGCTAGAATTTATGAGTACTAGTACGTCAAAAACCCCTACGCGTAAGACGTACTAGTACGACGAAAACCCTCAAAGGGTTAAGTACAGGTATACATTTACCTGGAGTTTACCTGGAGAGAGTTTCGGGGGTCAACGCCCCCGCGGCCCGGTCTGTGACCAGGCCTCCTGGTGGATCAGCGCCTGATCAACCAGGCTGTTGCTGCTGGCTGCACGCAAACCAACGTACGAGCCACAGCCCGGCTGATCAGGAACTGACTTTAGGTGCTTGTCCAGTGCCAGCTTGAAGACTGCCAGGGGTCTGTTGGTAATCCCCCTTATGTGTGCTGGGAGGCAGTTGAACAGTCTCGGGCCCCTGACACTTATTGTATGGTCTCTTAACGTGCTAGTGACACCCCTGCTTTTCATTGGGGGGATGGTGCATCGTCTGCCAAGTCTTTTGCTTTCGTAGTGTTTATCAGAGTATATATAAAATATGAAATAACTTTTAAAAACATTTGAAATTTTGGAGTTTCCAGACAAAATGGAGAGACTTAGTGCTTACTGAGCTCACGAAGAATGTAAACAAACAGGGTGGGGCGCGGTGACCGTATTAGAAAGTCAGGTGGGGGGGGGCCGTATAGCGAGCTTTGGTCATAATTTGAAATGACCGTATTAGCGGAACGCCGTAAAGTGAAACGCCGTAAAGCGGGGCCCTGCTGTATGCAGACTACTGCATTAGTGTAGAAATGGTATAAATGATATCAACGCACTTGTGAAAGAATATTAGACTCACCAGTTGACGTGAATTGGACGCTTGGCATGATTTGTTTACTTTTGAACTTTGGTGGTAAAAATCAAACATTTCTGCTACTTTGAGCTCAATTTCAAGGTACCTTTCATTGTAAAACCAGGCAAAATCATCTCAATTTCTGTAATATGTCTTCCATTCTATAAAATGAGACCAAGAAAACTAGAATACAACAATAAATACCATACAAAAATACAGTGCAAAGTCGCTGTTTTAATCCAAAAACACGGTCAAAGTTTTTTTTTCTCATTACGCACTGTGTGCTGCAGGATGTTTTTATACTGTGCACACTGACCACATAGATCCATTCTTTCATACATAGGCCTACCAGCCTTCTCTCACTAGATTTGAAGGCACTAGAATTTAGGCGTACTAGTACGTCAAAAACCCTAGTGCGTAACCGTACTAGTACGGCCGAAACCCCCAAAGGGTTAAAGATAACCCACAGTCCAGTCTGACTGTACCTCTACTGCATCCACCAGTGAGTCATGTTGTAACTCCCTTTTTATTCTTCACTAGCTGATGATTTGAGGAGTGCAGGCAGGTTCCTTAAACATTTAATACTTTGGCTAGATTAAAAAGAAGTGCTAGGGAAGAATTTGTGAACTATGATAAATATAGAGATACTGTATTTGAATCACATTATAAATAGTCACCCAGTGTTCCATGATACATTTTTGGCTTAAAATATCTCCAGGTGTGACTAGTACCCCCGAGGCCTCACTGGCTTGCAGCCGACTTCATTCTTGTGAAAGCATAAGACCACCCGTAAAATTATTATAACTGTGTTCTTTACAAGAGTAATGTAACATTATAATATAATCAACCTATATTGTTCTTCACTTTCCAACATAGAGCAAACCACAGTAGTATCATTCAGGATCACAATCCATCATTAAGGGGTAAGAACTATGTCTACTAAAGGTGGACCCAGTTGGCTATCACTCCATAGCAGTGCTCGTAGGAAGACTGAGCGAGATGTGCAGAGAAACCTAGAAAGTGGTGAAAATATGTCAGTAGTTATAGATTAAGAGTGCAAGTATATAAGCAGAGATGAGTGAGATGTTATGTTCTGGCATGTTACAACTGAGCTTGTTATAGTAGTAGTGATAAAATAGGGAATCATCCACATATGTAGCAAGAAAAATGTTGTCTTTTTAGGACAGGCTTTTTCTTTCTATGATAGTGATTTAAGCCTTCACTTAGATAATTTGTAATTTTGTTTTATTAATACATCCTTTAAGTTTCAATAAAAATTCAGTATAATTTACTTAATATATTTTGTATCAATTCTGTATATATTTTCCCTTGTTTAATAGTCATGAAATCTTACCTCAGTTCTTCTGACTTCTGTAAAGTACTTAAATGACCTAAAAGATTATTATTTTTGTGATTGGGTTTGTTTATTTTTAAGTAAAAGTTTATTAAAGTACATTAACTTCCTGTACAGAATGTATTGTAATTAGTGTCTCACTTCTGCTTATAATGTATTGAAAAGCAAAGGTTTAGGTGGGTTTAATGAGACTGCAATTTTTCTCAGTATGAGTACCAAGGCATATGGCTAATAGGTTTCTTTTTATTGGCAGGGTGCAATGCAGGATCTAAACAATTTAAGGCAAGAAGTGTACCCAGGTGGTGGTATATCACATCAGAGAATACCAGTACCCCAACAGATGCGACAGCACCAACACTCGCAGCACCTGGCCACCTCTCCAACACGACTCCATGGTTATAACACACTGTTGTCCCCTCCTGAGGCCCTTTCACGCTCCATCTCTGATTCTTCTCTCCACCAAAACTTGGTTCAGAGCAAGACAGTCAACAGTAGGAAAGGTTTGTTTGCAATTACTGTTTCCTTATTGTTTCTCTGAAATGTTTAAAGCTTTCTTTTATAAATGTTGGCTAAATGGATTGACTTATAAAAAAATTTCTCTTATATTCACTAAGGAAGTGCCATTCCTCATGCATTGTTAAGCCCTGCAGGTTTAGTGCTTCCCCAATGAATATGATGGTTATTTTACTAGTCATAAAGTGGCCTGGGCCTAAAGAAGAGGCTTTAACATGACTTATACTGTGACATAGGGTATATGTACTTTTTATTCCCAAAAGTACAGTAAATTGTTTTGAGCAAAAAACAGTTAGGGCAATGTTTTATTTGATTTAACCCTTTGATTGTCACAACCCCAAATCCTGAAGTGTCTCTGTGTGTTGCCAAATATTCGAATAAAAATAAAATTATGAAATGATAGAGAATCTTTTCCCAATGGCAATGTCACCAAAAGTATGAAATTTGATTGAAAACTTACGGAATTACGCTCTCACGAAGTTAGTGATCTTGGCAATATATATGCATTGGCGTTTTCACCCAATTTGAGCCAAATTTTCGGCCAATTCTATTGTTCCAGTTGACTAAATTCATAGCTATTTCTTTAGAACTCCATTTGTTCTATTGAATGAGTACAAGAAACTGCCCATTTACCAATTTCAGCTACTCAATAAATTGATCAGAAATTGGCACTTTGGGCAATTTCATGCAAATTAAGAAAGAGGGCAATTTCAAAATAGGGTCCAGAATAAACAGTGCAGACATTCCTGGCACTAAAATAACATTTTCTCTGTTAAATAGTCTCCAGGCCCCTCTTATGTTACTTTTGCTTTCTATTTTGAATTTTTATTCACACAAAAAATAGAAGATTTACTATTATGCAGACTACTGCATTATTGTAATAATTGTATAAATAATGTCAACCCATTCATGACTGCATATAAGACTGGCCAGTTGGACATGTATTGGATGGTGACTTCATTTGTATACTCTTGAACATCAGCAAAAATCGAACATTTCTGCTACTTTGAGCTCAATTTCACGGCCCTTTTCTTTGTGAAACCAATCAAAATCATTCTAATTCTGTAATACATCTTCCATTCTATCAAATGAGACCAAGAAAATGAGAATACAATCATAAATGCTATAGGAAAATGCACCTCAAAGTCGGCGTTTTAATCCAAAATCTCGGTTGGAGTTTTTTTTTCTCATGCACTGCGTGCTGCAGGATTTTTTTTATACTGCAGACACTGACCACACACACCCATTCTCTCGCATGTGGGCCTACCAGCTTTCTCCAGCTTGATTTGAAGCTGCTAGAATTCAGGAGTAATCATACATCAAAAACACGGGCTCGTAAGATGTGCAGTGGACCCCCCCACCTTACGACGGCATTGCGTTACGTTAAATCCGCCATGCGATACATTTGAACGCAAAAATTTTGCCTTGCCTCACACAATTCGTCCGGGATGCATCCCATGTGTGGCCTCAGCGCCAGTGTTTACAAGCCAGCCAGTGTGCTCACATCCACTCATACATTCAGTGCATTTCACCTTATCGCAACATTTTTTGTGCTTGTAGCTGCAAAATAAGTCACCATGGGCCCCAAGAAAGCTAGTGCCAACCCTGTGGTAAAAAGGGTGAGAATTAGTATGGAAATTAAGAAAGATTTTGAAGGGTTTGGGGCTAACCCTGAGAAGCCTATGCCAGTTGTAGAATCCATTGTGCCTACTTCAAAGATTAAGGAAATGTGTGCAAAGTGGGTTGAACTGCAAACCTTTATGGATGAAAATCACCCTAACACAGCTATTGCAAGCCGTGCTGGTGACTATTACAATGACAATGTTGTGGCCTATTTTAGGCAAATCTTAAAGGAACGGGAGGTACAAAGCTCTATGGACAGATTTGTTGTGCGACAGAGGTCCAGTAACTCTCAAGCTGGTCCTAGTGGCATTAAAAGAAAAAGGGAAGTAACCCTGAAAAAGGACTTGATACCTCAAGTCCTAATGGAAGGGGATTCCCCTTCTAAACAATAACAACTTCCACACACTCCCCTCCTCCCATCCTATCAATCATCACCAGATCTTCAATAAAGGTAAGTGTCATGTATTGTATTCTTAGTAGAGTATTAATTGTGCATGTCTTCTTAAGTTTGTGTGTATTAAAATTAATATTTCATGTGGTAAATTTTTTTTTTTTTCATACTTTGTGGTGTCTTGCACGGATTAATTTGATTTCCATTATTTCTTATGGGGAAAATTAATTTGCCATACGACAATTTCAGCTTACGATGAACTCTCATGAACGGATTAACATTGTAAGGTGGGGGTCCACTGTATATATATAGGACAAAAACAATCGAAGGTTAAAAATGATAAGATAGGAGTTTTCTAGTTTTGTTTAAGTGGTTAAGAGATGCACAGGTCATCAGCTTTACGCAAGTACAGTGGTCCCTCAATTATCGTCCATAATACGTTCCTGGAAGTGGGACTATTATTGAAATAGACGATTTTCAAATCAATTTTCCCCATAAGAATTAATGTAAATGCAATTAATCCGTTCCTGACACCCAGTAAGTATTAAAACAAAAACATTTTTTACATGAAATATAGATGTAGTACATAAACAATACAATGGCACATGATGAATGAAACATTAACAGAATAACACTTACCTTTATTGGCGATTCTTCTTAGTGTATGGAAGACTGGAGAAGGAGAGAGATTGGATTATTTACTGTTTTGAAGGGGGAATCCCTTTCCATCAACACCTCAGGTACCATTTGCTTTTCTGGGGTTATTTCTCTTCTCTGTTTCTTAATGTCACTAGGACCAGCTTGAGAGTCACTGGAGTCCTGTCTCGCAAAAAAACTCTCCAGAGAGCTCTGTTTCTGGCATCTCTTTAAAACTTCCCTAAAATGGGCCAAGACTCTGTCACTGTACAAGTTGCCGATATGGCTTGCAACATCCTTCTCAGGGTGATGTTTCTCCATAAATCTTTCTATCCTACCCCACATTTCAAAAATCTCCTTTATTTCTGAAGAAGGCACCTTCTTCCATCTCTCTCCCTTCTCCTCTGCAGCAAGATTCTAAGCTGCGATCTGTTGCTGTTCCTGCTGAAGCTCTTGCAGCTCCTCAGTGGCTAGCTCTCACTGTGGTCTTCCACCAACTCTTCTACATCCTCCAAACTCACATCCAACCCCATGGAATTCCCCAGTGTGACAATAGAGTTCACAACTGACATAGGCTCATCAGGGGCTGCCTCAAACCCTTCAAAATCTCTCTTGTGGAGACAATTTGGCCACAATTTTCTCCAAGAAGAGTTCCAAGTCCTGGTAGTCACTCCCTCCCAAGCCTTACCTATAAGGCTTATGCAATGGAGAATACTGAAGTGTTCTTTCCAAAAATCTCTTAGGGTCAAGTGAGTGTCTGAGGTCACATTAAAGCACCTTTCAAATATTGCTTTGGTGTAGAGTTTTTTAAAGTTTGAAATGACTTGCTGGTCCATGGGCTGGAGGAGAGGAGTAGTATTCGGGGGCAAGAACTTTACTGTGATGAACCCAAACTCCTTCAGAATTAGGTCATCCAAGTCTGGAGGATGAGCAGGTGCATTGTCCATTACTAGGAGGCACTTGAGATCCAATTTCTTTTCCAGGAGGTAATTCTTCACACTAGGGCCAAACACTTCATGCCTTATTATTAGATCTCCAAAACACACACAATTTACTCTTCATAACATTGTTTTTCTTGAACACTGGGATTTTCAGAATGGTACACTAGTAAAGGCTTCACTTTGAAATCCCCACTAGCATTAGCACAGAACATGAGCGTCAGCCTGTCTTTCATAGACTTGTGTCCTGGTAGTGCCTTTTCTTCCTGAGTAATGTAGGTCCTCTTTGGCATTTTCTTCCAAAAGAGGCCTGTTTCATCACAATTGAACACTTGTTCAGGTTTCAGTCCTTCACTGTTTATGTACTACTTGAATTCTTTCACATATTTTTCAGCCGCTTTTTGGTCAGAACTGGCAGCCTCGCCATGCCTTACCACACTTTGTATGCCAGTACGCTTCGTAAATCTCTCAAACCAGCCTTTGCTAGCCTTAAATTCACTCACATCACCACTAGTTGCAGGCATTTTCTTTACCAAATCGTCATGCAACTGCCTAGCCTTTTCACAAATAAGCGACGTCATAAGACTGTCATTTTTGTCAGCATATTTACCCCCTTTGCAACAACAGCGTCCTTGATTTCCTTTTTGTTGGCTATGATGGAAGATATGGTTGTACGGGATTTGTTATACATCCTGGCCAGTTCGCCTACATGTACTCCACTTTCATATTGTTCAATGATGTTTTTCTTAAATTCAATCGTATTTCTCACCTTTACCAAATCTTGGCACTAGGAGCTTTCTTTGGAGTCATGGTAGCTTATTTAGCACTTGCAAGCACTAAAATCAGTGAAATATTATGAAATATTTCATAGGAGCAAGTGAGGGGACCGTCGCTCACTGGTAAACAATGGCACACTGGCTGGGAAAGGAAGGCCCAGGCGGCTCAGAGCATGAGTACGCGTCCCGGACGAAGAACTATTAGCAAGTTAACGGACATTTGTGAGCCAATGTTAAGATGAAATAATGGGACTATTTCTGAAATGGACGACTTTCAGGCCGGACGATTATTGAGGGACCACTGTGTGTGGATCACTGACCATTCACAAATAACGAAAAAAGGCACAATACACAAATAACCCGCACATAGAAGAGAGGAGCTTACAACGACGTTTCGGTTCGACTTGGACCATTTACAAAGTCACACTAACAAAAACAAGAGCAGGAAGGGTATATCAGCAGGAGGTGGTAGTAGTAGTAGTAGTAGTAATAGTGGTGGTGGTAGTGGAGGGAAAGAAGTAGTAGTGGGAGGAGTAGGAGGGGCCAGTCAAATACAGTGTACTAAGAAAGAGGAGCACTGCAAGGGAGCTAGGTGCCCACAGAGGGTAAGAGCAAGAACACCGAGGGGGGGAAAACAAATAAATAAAGAAGGAACAAATACACAGGGCAGAAGAAAGACAACCCAAAGGAGAAAAAGGAAAGAGGAAAGGGGAAGAGGGAAAAGAAGAAAAAAGGAGGAATCAGGTTAGGTCACAGTGTTCTGAAGTTTGGAGCATTTTGCAGTGCAGTGGGAGACTAAGGCATCTACAGAGACGAAGGCAGGACTAAGATTCATACAAAGAAAGATGTGTATTAGGGAGGATTCAACCAGACGGCGACTGTTAAAGTTGGAAGTAGGGAAGACAGCTTTAGCAGAAGACCAGTCTATAGGATGGCTGTGATCTCTGATGTGACAGAAAAGAGCATTGTTAGTGTCAGCAAGCCTAACACTGTTTTTGTGCTCCCTAAGTCTGTCAGAAAGAGATCGACCAGTTTCTCCAAAATATTGAAGAGGACAGGAGGAACAAGAAATAAGAGTAGACACCAGGAGCATCTATAGAGGGAGGAGAGGTATGAACAAGATTAGTGCGAAGAGTGTTAGTCTGGCGGAAAGTAAGTTTGATGTCTAGACATCAAACATCGTAAAATATGTATTGTATATACATACATGTTCCTCCCACCCATGTGTGTGTCCAGTCTCTTTTTTATCTTTTGACTGTTTCGGTTGTATATATACGTCTTATGCACCACTGTTTCTAACGTATTTATACGCGTAAATTCTAGCGGCTTCAAATCAAACGGGAGAATGCTGGTAGGCCCATATGAGAGAATGGGTCTGTGTGGTCAGTGTGCACCACATAAAAAAAATCCTGCAGCACACAGTGTGTAATGAGAAAAAAAAAATGACCGTTTTTTTTGGATTAAAACACCGACTTTGAGGTGTATTTTCATATAGTATTTATTGATGTATTCTCATTTTCATGGTCTCAGGTGATAAAATGGAAAACATATTACAGAAATAGAGATGATTCTGATTACTTTCCCGATGAAAACTACCTTGAAATTGAGCTCAAAGTCGCGGAACTGTTCGATTTTTGAAGGGTTGGCACTAGAAGCTTTCTTGGGGCCCATGGTGACTTATTTTGCAGAAACAAGCACCAAACACAGTGATAATATGGATAATATGGAATGTACCGAATGTATCCTTAGATGCGCGCACACTGGCTGGCTTGTAAACACTAGCACACACGGAGCAGTTCAGGCCACACGTGGACAGGTCTCGTACGAATCGTATTGAATACCGGGTTTTCAATCGAATACCGAGGAAAATTTTTTGCGTTAAAATGCATCGAAAACCGGATTTATCGAATACCGATGCCGTCGAATACCAGGGGTCCACTGTATTCGATATTTGCTGATATTCCTGAGGATGGGTAAGGCCATCCCTACACTCCCCCAATCTGTTTTATGGATTTTTAATAGGTCTGATTCAATTATTGGGATTCTGTAAGCCATGACAAATTCCTTGTTATACAGCCTCTCTTCACTTAACGATGGAGTTCCGTTCCTAAGACCACGTCACTAAACGAATTCGTCGCTGAATGAGGAGCATACTGTAATGGTAGCGGGTTTGCGTCAACCATCTTCGATATTGTTTTAATGTACATTATTTAGGTATGCATACTGATCAGAGAGCCCGTCGTAAGTCCAAATTGTCAGTAAGTGAGTATATCGCTAAGTGAGGAGAGGCTGTTTTTTATTATCTGAGAAGTAAGGTAAATCTTGATTTTTTGTGTGTTGATGAATTAAAAATGGAATGCAAGTGTAACATAGGAGAGGCTTGGAGATGTGATTATTACATAAAGGAAATGTTTCAGTGCCTGAAATGTGGAATTTTTCATTTTGTGTAAAATTGGCCAAATTACTAAATTCTGTGTACATTATTGGGTAGTTCTGATAGTTGAATGCACAGTTTCTTGAGATCTGTCAATAGAACGGAAGGCACTGTAACAAAATAGCTAATAATTTGATCAAATTGAGCAGTGAAATTGGCTTGAAATGTGGCTCAGATTCAGCAAACTCAACATTATGTAAAAGGTGCCCAGGCTGCTGTCTTTGCATCTGCTTAATTCCATAATTCACATCTGCTTAATTCCACAATTCCAGATTTCATATTTTTGGCATCATCACCTTTAGGAAAAGATTCTCTACGATTTTAGAAGGAAAATATTTTTTTTTTTTTTTAAATGTGGACACGGTGTGCACTTTTAATTTTGGGGGTCTGGATGGTGAAAGGGTTAAAGAGCTATTAATTTTCTTTACAGTCTCAGCACCAGTTGAAGGAGTTCGGACAGATCCTTCGATGGTAGTCAGTTTTTATGAATCAGCGAGACTTGGACACGACACCAGACCAAAGTCTGGGTGTGAGTTAACACACCCATCAGATATTTCTGCGTAAGTTACTGGGTTGAATGCCTTGTCGATTTATGAAGTTTCTTGATTGGTTTCTTGACTAATTCCTGTGTTTCTTCCAGATTGTATTGATGTGTGGCGGGAATGCTGGTAAGATCAGATAAGAGCATTTTATTTATGAAGTTACATTTAATGGGTGTGGAATTGGAAACATTAGATAAATGGTCCAAGTTGGACTGAAAGGTTATAAGTTTCAGTATTGTAGATGAATGGTTCAGAGAACCGACATGTTGATAAATTAGACACTTGTGCAACTCTTGGGTATCTTTTTTGAGGAAACGTTTTGCCACACAGTGGCTTCATCAGTCCATACCAAGGAGAATCTTGAAGAACAGGAGGAGAATGAGGTAATCAGTCCCTCAACCTTGAGTTGATGTGGTCAGTCCATCAATCTTGAATTGATGGACTGACCACATCGACTCAAGGTTGAGGGACTGATTACCTCATTCTCCTCCTGTTCTTCAAGATTCTCCTTGGTATGGACTGATGAAGCTACTGTGTGGCAAAACGTTTCCTTAACCCTTTGACTGTTTTTGTCGTATATATACGTCTTACGAGCCAGTGTTTCAGACGTATATATACTCTATATACTATATATACGTATATATATTCTAGCGGCTTCAAATCAAGCGGAAGAAAGCTGGTAGGCCCACATGTGAGAGAATGGGTCTGTGTGGTCAGTGTGCACCACATAAAAAAAATCCTGCAGCACACAGTGCGTAATGAGAAAAAAAAAAACTGATCGTTTTTTTGGATTAAAACACCGACTTTGAGGTGTATTTTCGTATAGTATTTATCAATATATTTGCGTTTTCATGGTGTTAGGTGATAAAATGGAAAACATATTATAGAAATTGAGATGATTTTCATTACTTTGACGATGAAGACGACCTTGAAACTGAGCTCAAAGTAGCGGAAATGTTCGATTTTTACCAACGTTCAGGAGTAAACAAATCACACCACACGTCCAATACACGTCAACTGGGGAGTCTAATATTCTTTCACTAGTGCACTGATATTATTTATACCATTTTTACAATAATGCAGTAGTCTGCATAGAAGTAAATTTTGTATTTTTTTGTATGAATAAAAAATCAAAATAGAAAGAGGGGCCTAGAGATGTGACTAATGAACAGAGGATATGTTATTTTAGTGCTAAGAATGTCTACCTTGTTTATTTTGGACCCTATTTTGAAATTGGCATCTTTTTTAGTTTGCGTGAAATTGGCCAAATTGCCAATTTCTGACCGTTGTGACGAATGGTTTGAAAAACCGACAAGTTGAAGATTGAGACACTTATGCAGCATATGGGAATCTTTATTCAGGAAACGTTTCGCCACACAGTGGCTTCATCAGTCCAATACAAAGAAGAAGGCGTAAGGAGAGGAGGAGTATGAGGTAATAAGTCCCTCAGCCTGGAGTCAATGTATTCAGTCCATCAATCTTGTAGAATGTACAGCATAGGGCCGTAGACGTGGCTTATATACTGTAGTGAGGTGATGTGAAGCAGACGGAGGCGGGGTCATAGTGGTACCATCCACTAGTCGAAGTAGGTCTTCGTCCAAAGGTTGAACAAGTGTTGAAGAATTCTTTGTAACAAGATCCCATGATTCTGCAGTGTCTGACAGTTGTGACAAATGGTTTGAAAAACCGACTGATGAAGCCACTGTGTGGCGAAACGTTTCCTGAATAAAGATTCCCATATGCTGCATAAGTGTCTCAATCTTCAACTTGTCGGTTTTTCAAACCATTCGTCACAACTGTCAGACACTGCAGCATCATGGGATCTTGTTACAAAGAATTCTTCAACACTTGTTCAACCTTTGGACGAAGACCTACTTCGACTAGTGGATGGTACCACTATGACCCCGCCTCCGCCTGCTTCACCTCACCTCACTACAGTATATAAGCCACGTCTACGGCTCTATGCTGTACATTCTACATGATTGATGGACTGAACACATCGACTCCAGGCTGAGGGACTGATTACCACATACTCCTCTCCTTACGCCTTCTTCTTTGTATTGGACTGATGAAGCCACTGTGTGGCGAAACACTTCCTGAATAAAGATTCCCATATGCTGCATAAGTGTCTCAATCTTCAATTTCTGACCACAATACTGGGTAGTCCAAATTGGTAAATGGGAGGTTTCTTGTACTCAGCTGATAGATAAAATGGAGTTCTAAAGAAATAGCTATGAGTTTGGTCAACTGGAACAACGGAATTGGCTGAAAATAGGGCTGAAAGTCGGCGAAATCGCCGATACACATATGTTGCCGAGACCGCTAACTTCGCGGGAGCGTAATTCCATGAGTTTTGAACTTTTGGTATCATTACCATTGGGTAAAGATTCTTTATCATTTCATGGGATTTTTTTTTTTTTTTTTTTTTTTTTTTCCAAAAATTTAGCGACATAGAATGACAGTTTCAGAAAGGGGCCTGAAACAGTCAAAGGGTTAATAAAGATACCCAAGAGATGCACAAGTGTCTAATTTATCAAGTTTCAGTATGTTAAGTGTGGATAATTTGTGTGTAGTAAGATATTAGCAGTGATTGTAATCTGTTGATCATTCACTAATACAGTACTATAAATTGTTAGTGTATAACTTTACCAACAATTTCTTATGCTATGAAGGGTCTTTTATTTTTTTTTATTTCCAACATGTTAGCCATCTCCCACCGAGGCAGGGTGACCCCAAAGAAAAAAAAAAAACTTTCACCATCATTCACACATAATCAATGTCTTCGCAGAGGCACCCAGATATGACATTTCAGATGTCACTCCAAACAGCCAATATCCCAAACTCCTCCTTTAACCCCTTAACTGTCCAAACGTAGATCTACGTTCTCTTGCCTAGTACTCCAAATTATTATTTTTTTTTTTTTAACAAGTCGGCCGTCTCCCACTGAGGCAGGGTGACCCAAAAAGAAAATACTTTCATCATCATTCAACACTTTCACCTCACTCACACATAATCACTGTTTTTACAGAGGTGCTCAAAACACAACAGCTTAGAAGCATATATGTATAAAGATACACAACATATCCCTCTAAACTGCCAATATCCCGAACCCCTCCTTTAGAGTGCAGGCAATGTACTTCCCATTTCCAGGACTCAAGTCAGGCTATATAAAAATAACTGGTTTCCCTGAATCCCTTCGCTAAATATTACCCTGCTCACACTCCAACAGATCGCCAGGTCCCAAATATCATTCGTCTCCATTCACTCATTTCGAACACGCTCACGCAGGCCTGCTGGAACTCCAAGCCCCTCGCCCACAAAACCTCCCTTACCCCTTCCTTCCAACCTTTTCGAGGACGACTCCTACCCCGCCTTCCTTCTCCTACAGATTTAAATGCTCTCCATGTCATTCTACTTTGATCCATTCTCTCTAAATGACCAAACCACCTCAACAACCCCTCTTCAGCCCTCTGACTAATACTTTTATTAACTCCACACCTTCTCCTAATTTCCACACTCCGAATTTTCTGCATAATATTTACACCACACATAGCCCTTAGACAGGACATCTCCACTGCCTATAACCGCGCCTCCTCGCTGCTGCATTCACAACCCAAGCTTCACACCCATATAAGAGTGTTGGTACTACTATACTTTCATACATTCCCTTCTTTACCTCCGTAGATAATGTTTTTTGTCTCCACATATACCTCAACGCACCACTCACCTTTTTTCCCTCATCAATTCTATGATTAACCTCATCCTTCATAAATCCATCCGCCGACACGTCAACTCCCAAGTATCTGAAAACATTCACTTCTTCCATACTATTATTCCCCAATTTGATATCCAATTTTTCTTTATCTAAATCATTTGATACCCTCATCACCTTACTCTTCTCTATGTTCACTTTCAACTTTCTATCTTTACACACACTCCCAAACTCGTCCACTAAACTTTGCAATTTTTCTTTAGAATCTCCCATAAGCACAGTATCATCAGCAAAAAGCAACTGTGTCAATTCCCATTTTGTATTTGAGTCCCCATAATTTAATCCCACCCCTCTTCTGAACACCCTAGCATTTACTTCTTTTACAACCCCATCTATTAATATATTAAACAACCATGGTGACATTACACATCCCTGTCTAAGACCTACTTTTACCGGGAAGTAGTCTCCCTCTCTTCTACACACCCTAACTTGAGCCTCACTATCCTCATAAAAATTCTTTACAACATTTAGTAACTTACCACCTATTCCATATACAGTGGTCCCTCGTTTATTGTATTTAATCCGTTCCTGGAGGAGCTACTGTTATCGAAATCTATGATTTTTGAATGAATTTTCCCCATAAGAAATAATGTAAATACAATTAATCTGTTCCTGACACCCAGAAGTATTAAAAAAAAAATTTTTTTTTACATGAAATATAGATTTTTTTTTTTCTTTTATTATCACACTGACCGATTCCCACCAAGGCAGGGTGGCCCGAAAAAGAAAAACTTTCACCATCATTCACTCCATCACTGTCTTGCCAGAAGGGTGCTTTACACTACAGTTTTTAAACTGCAACATTAACACCCCTCCTTCAGAGTGCAGGCACTGTACTTCCCATCTCCAGGACTCAAGTCCGGCCTGCCGGTTTCCCTGAACCCTTTCATAAATGTTACTTTGCTCACACTCCAACAGCACGTCAAGTATTAAAAACCATTTGTCTCCATTCACTCCTATCAAACACGCTCACACATGCCTGCTGGAAGTCCAAGCCCCTCGCACACAAAACCTCCTTTACCCCCTCTCTCTAACCTTTCCTAGGCCGACCCCTACCCCGCCTTCCTTCCACTACAGACTGATACATTCTTGAAATCATTCTGTTTCGCTCCATTCTCTCTACATGTCCGAACCACCTCAACAACCCTTCCTCAGCCCTCTGGACAACAGTTTTGGTAATCCCGCACCTCCTCCTAACTTCCAAACTATGAATTCTCTGCATTATATTCACACCACACATTGCCCT